ATCTCCTATTCCGCTGTTTTAATTCTCCTAAACTGTGTAACTAACATAATTAGAAAATAGTGTAATAATGATACCATTATAAGTAGTGTCGAGGTAGACTTATGTGTAAATTTATATTGTGTGTAACTCTCCGGTCATGGTAACACCGCAAGAAAGCAGTTAGTCATAGGAGCTTACTTCCGCGTACACTTAGATTGTGGCATAAATTACCTGCCGAGGTTTTCTCCACTCCTGGTTCCCAGGCGTCAATAGGCTATGGTAACCATTTACCATCAGATAGGCCGTATGCTTGTATGCCACCATGGTATTATAAAAAAAGTTAATTCGAGAGATGAAGGTGGGTTCGCCACCTGCCTTCTTACCGAAATGATGGCATGTCAAGTGCAGCAGTCACTATAACACCGAAAGTTGATATTAACAGCGGAACTCTGACTACCCCATCAGGAATGAGAGTCATGAAGGTATATTATTATGATTTTAAATATGAATTTTACATGGAATCTCTGGTAAAACAATAGCTGCTAAATTTCGATATACCATACAATGGCTCTAAATTCTTTTGTACGTTGTTATCAATTTGCGAGTGATAGGCAACACAAAAGCCTACAACAGTTAATTGCCTATTAACACGAACTCCATTTCACATTTGTGATAGCTGTATATACTATATACACTTATATATTAAGCCTACCATCGACTATGTATTTTTTTAAAGAAGTGTAGAATCTTTTTATGGAATGGTGCAGCTGGCTGCGATAACAGTTTACGCTGGCGAGGCACCAGTGGCGGACGATAAAATGAATGTCCATCATGCAAAATTTGTCAGAAATTTATCATGATGATTTCAGGGGAAACCAATTGGAAGTTAACTTGACATGATGCACCGCTAGCAATGGGCCATCAGTCCACATTACTAACAATCACCTTTGGATAGGGGATCGACGATGTATTCAAAATAACAGCGCACTGGCTGAAACTATGAACATTTAATATTTTTTATGGATGAATATTAAAACCTGGACCCGCCTGCGCAGCGTATACTGGCTGTCGGTACATCAATAACGGATGAAGTCAGGTCAGTCAACACCTAATGTTCAATATGTTTCCAAATGTTCATATTTCTATGAACATTTTAAGAATAGATCCGATGTCATGATATTTTGTGAAACAGGATAGGTTATACAAGAAAATGACATAAGAATAATCCGTATTCTACAGAAGGGTTCGTATAAGTATTACTTTAAAGTAGTAGGAATTTTCATTTGTTTTTTTTAATATTTATTTTTAAGACAGGCGTATCCGTGAAAGCACTAAGAGAAACGAGTACCAAATAATACTTAAATTCAGAATAGTTACATTAATGTAGGTGCAATAATTTCGCCTTGGAAAAAATAATGGTTTGTTCATAGTGAATTCACCACGAGGTGTTGACTGACCTAACTTCATCCTTTATTGATGTACCGCCAGAGTATACTCTCAGCGCAGGCGGGTCTAGGTTTTAATATTCATCAATAAAAAAATACAGGTATACGAGTACATAAATAATTACATTACTACATAATACTTCCAATTTCAAGATATACTGTGTCTGCGCTGTAAGTACATGAAAGCTGAACTGGATCAACACAATCTAACAAATGAAATATTTATGACATGAGAGTATTTCAGAGTGGGTATTTAACTTTATATCTTCATGGATACAGATACGCTACGCTCTTGGGAAACTGGTTGAAAAAGTCTGTTAGTTTTAGCGTCGCCATTTCTACATTCTTATTTTATTTCTAATGGATAAGAATGGACTGGCGCACCCGCGTGCGTTAATTGTTTACGCTGGCGGGGTACCAGTGGATGATGATAAGATGAGCATGAGATCAGATCAAGTAGTGAATCGTGTCCAAATCACCAGGAATTTATGACAATGATTTCCGGATTCGAACGCCTGGGGTTCAGTACCAGCAATGGGGTTAAAAATTCACAATAATAACAGTCTTCATCCTCCCATATATTGCCATTATTTATACATGTTAAAAAATATTGGAGTATTTATTTAGTTCTTTCAACTCAAATTCAACTCACAAATTATGAACATGTAGGGCGGACATATGAACCTGATTGCATTTTATACTAAATATTGCATAAAACAGAGAGAAAGTAAAAGGGAAATCAGGTATCAAAATTGAACTTTTCATATTAAATTGAAGACGTGAAATCAATTTTTATTAAAAGGGATTTATTTTTATTTTCTCTTTTCTTCTCGGGGAACTTTTTGAAATTAACTCTTCTAAAGAAAAGTAGAAATTCTTTGAATAATATCACTGGTTTCAGTTAAACTTAAACTTGTACTAGATTAAAACTAGTTGCTAGGTCACATACAAAAATAATACTAACTTCTTAGGATCTTAACTGTTAAAAATTGTGCTCTTCAATATGGCCGATTACAACATATTAATATATATGTATCTTATTAAGATAAATAGGTCTATAACATATACACTTTTGTATATCCATGATTCACAAAGAAATTTGGATTTCACGTTGTCGGTAACTATGAATTATATAGTATTTTTCACGTCATATAAATCTAGGCGGCAATTTATCACAGATTAAGTATACGTCTTGAACATACGTGCCGAATTATGTACTGATACCACAATATACTTATTCAAGCGGGACAAGTCCTAAATTGAAAAGTTCTTTTCCACTATGTTTAACTTTTTTGCGTTTTACAGAGGTAAACTTTGTACAAAATTATTGCAGTCACCTCTCACCTCTCGTCGTAGTCCTAGTAATTTATTCATAATAAAACAATTCTGTTTGAACATAAATATAAATTCATAACAAACATTAGTCTAAAACTCTAAACTATTATATAATAATTTCTGTTCAATAATAATAATATTAGTTTTTTTAATTAGCTACAACTCGCTCCGGGTTCGCACGGGTGTACATGTATTATATATATAAACCTTCCTCTTGAATCACTCTATCTATTGAAAAAAACCGCTTCAAAATCCGTTGCGTAGTTGTAAAGATTTAAGCGTACATAGGGACGGACAGGCAGCGACAGCGACTTTATTTTATATTATGTAATGTTGATGACTGTAATGCCTCGTCGTATAAATCCACATGGAAATTATTATATGTTTTTAAAGCTTGATAATACTGACAGTGCTCCACTACCTTAAAACTAGGAAAGAAGTTGCCCCTAACGTCTCTTCTCCTTGTATTCTGCAGCATCTGTTTTCCACAGTTTTCTTTTGTCGTCACACTCCCTTCATTTCGGTTTAAGGGAATTGAAATAAGGCATTGAAATCGTAGGATAAGAAGCATGACATTATTCTCTGGAATGGCAATGCTTGAGTGGTATCACGAACGTCACATGATAACGTGATGTCTGCAGTTCATGTATTATATGTAGATGATGGTTACCACTTAACATTGATGGACCGTTTATTCGTTATTCTCATTTACAAATATATATATATATATAAAGATATTATGTTTATAGGATAAGAAACTGGGGGTTTTCTAAGTATATTGTGATATTATAATAAAAAATAACTATGTATTTATTTAAGTTATCTGGTACCCATAACACAAGCTCTGGTTAGCTTAGGACTAGATGGCGTTGTGTGAATTGTACCGTAGAATATCGTGTAGATTGCCGTAAAAGGTCGCGTTTTTAGTTCTAATTAAATGTATCTACTTTACTCGCTTTTATCTTTTTGTATCAAGATATTCGTAGATTAATTCCCCTACTAATGTTCTAAATTCAATTCCTATATTAGGCTGTAATAAAATATCCGAATGCCTTCGGTTGTGATGTTACCATAGTAATTCCGGAAAATACTGAAATTCGTGACAGCACACATGTTATATAACAACCTGCTCAGAACCTGAAGTTAGTTCCAGGAGTGTGACATATAAATAAGATTTTATTATTTCTGCGTACAATAAAAGAAGTAGGGTAAAAGAGAAATTTTTATGTGTGCAAAAAAGTATATTTTTTTGTAAAAATAGACATATTTTTGTCATACCTAACTTTTATTTACTCAACTCCCATATTTTATCTGATCACTACGACTGATTTAACCTTATTTAGTCACTTAACCCTTTTAATTGTGTATTTAAATACATTACATTCTATATCATATTTTATAATCAAACTTAAATTTATCAAATTATAATTTATGTTATAGAAGAATATCTTCTAATCTCATATATTTTACAAATTAAATAATATTTTCATAATGTTTTGAAGAATAACAGTAATAAGAATGACCGTAACACAATTGCAAGTTGAGACCAACTCATTAGTTTATACAGCATGTCCACATTTGATATCAATGTAAAGCCATCCTACTTATTAAAATCCATCAAGCCGTTTGGGCAACACGTTGCGCCAAAAATAATAAGACCCGCAAAAGAACGTGATAACATAAAAGTAATATTTTTGGCGAATAGTAAATATAATTCATTATGAAACATAACTTAAAATGTAATGAATAGATTAGAAGGTACAAGGAAATGCTGATACACATAAATATACTAATGTTATATCAGTTGAAGTTGACCCACCTGAAAGACGCCTACAATCGCCTACATACATAATAATTTAATCTTGATGCGTCACCAAAAACCGTAATTCTCTAATAATAGATAATTTAGAACAATGGAATTTCTATTTGTTTTATGTAACTAGAATGGTAAATAAACTTAGGGCCTGTACTAAGGAGTAATCATCGTGTGCGTCAGTGCGTTACCATTCTGGACGACTAAGATGTTATATTACCTATGCTTACACTACCTTGTTATTTCTCCGCCAAATCTTACCCCCTAAACATGAGAGACAGAGGCACTTACGTAGACGAACACAAAGTCTACCACTGGTTAAAAATAGCCCTTAAACTAAATGATATACATATATTATCTTCTATACATGATCGTATTCATATGAAGATATTTTGATAAAAGTGTAATGTACATTTTTTTTGTTACAGAATCTTTTACGGCAAGTGAAACGTGAATAGTGAAAAAAAATATTGAAGCATTAATTTGTACAGTGATAAAGTGTTCTAGTGTGTATATTCAATTTAATAATTCAACCTCTACGTTGGATTTCAAAATTCGGAAATGTTGCGGGTGTGAGCGTATCTTTGGGCACGTGCGCTCTTGTCGAAGGCAAGACGCGGACTACATCAAAACAACGATGGCTCGGCCTGAAGTTGTGCGATGAAGTACCTGACGAGGAAGAGGGGGGCATGGACGAGCCCAGCGCCGCCAAGCGGCCGTCTGTATTAACTATAGATAGAGCCGCATTTCTCCTTTTGAGGGTGAAAAGGGCTTTCAAGAAGAAGAGACAGCAGAGAAAAGAGAAACAGTAAGTAATACTTGCGTTATTTTACTAAACTATTTTTTTTTTAATTTGGTATAGACAGAGACTCTATTGTCGTTATGCTTTCCACTATATGTATCTGGAGTATTGTTTATAGCGGCTTTTGGTTGAATTATTTTATGTGAATAAGATGATGAGTTCTTTGTCTAAACTCACAAAAAGAATTATCTTGTTTAAATTTTCATAATACATATTAAAGATTAACTTTGTAAACACTCATTTTTTCTCTACTCATTCTTACTGAGTAATGTTTATATTTATTATAGAAGGATGTAGTCGATGTTCTAGATGTTGTAGTTTATTGATTTTATTGACATCAGATTTACCATCAAAACAGATTTTGATTAATCTTTTTGCAATAAGGATTATGCCCTTGTTGGAATGGATGTATTTGAACTCAATGCTTACAATGATGAATTACTAAAATATGATCAGCAAAATATCATCATTGTCAACATTTGATAATGTCTCTGACTTTTATTATAGTCATGAGAATTTTATACTTTGTTGTCAGCCTGATTTTTAGGACCTAAATACTAAATTTCAATTGAACTTATTGTTGATAAATATATAAAGGTATGGAATATTTAGAATGATGAACAATTAAAACTAAAGTTACCTCGGAGATCGCCGGGGATACGTCTCTTGATATAATAATGAATTGCTACAAACTTTCTCTATACAAATGGCATGAATTTGTATTACACTAATCCAAAGGGATGTTTTAAATGCGCTATCATTTACATAAAATATACATTATTCCGTTAAGATAATTTAATCTATGTGCTCTGTGGACCTGGCGAAATCTTTCATCTAGGTTTTCATTATGTATATTACCTGTACATAATTTCCCGTGGTACAAATACTACAAATTACAGGTTATGAAAATGAGAGCGTTTGTTATTCGTGTCACGCACTTGGTTTATTGGTCTTCCGTTTCTTCATAATATTAGTTAGACTCTTATGTTTTCTATTGTAATATTTGGATTCCATACAAGATTATGTAGGATTGGAGTATGTCACCATACCAGGTCATATTCGTAATATAACGACATATTATAATATACTGGTCATTAACTATAGTTTACTTATGCAGAACCATTTATTTGTATATTTATAGTAAAACTGGGTTAAACAGCATATATAAATTTGCTTACGATATAAAATTTGGCTTATTGACAGTTGTATCAATTTTAATTTTTGTAGCGTCCTCTTTGTCTTTTATTTTTATAATATCATTATCATCAGCTGTTACATCATTTCTTGCAGTCGACGATGAAGATGTAGGTCGTAAATTCCAGTTGTTTTCATCGTTTTTCAAATCTTTATCACCAACTATTTGTATAAAATTTAAGTTCTTATCTTTTTTTCCAAAATCTGTTTTTGCTAACGTTTTATCAAAATTAAAAGGCGTATATTTTTTCTTTGGAAACAGAAATATTTCCATTGCTTTTTGTTTTATAGGAAAAGTCGGTAAAACTGATTTTTTGGGTACAACATCTTTGAATAAAAACGATGAAAATGATAACGGCTTCGCTCCTTGAGAATTTATAGGCATTTGCTTAGGACCAAAATCAAACGTTACAAAATCTTCTTGTATATGCTCATGAGAATCACAACATACAGCAGACGAAGCCGGTTCTTTGTTAAATGAGAATAGATCATTGTTTGTAAGAATTTTGTTAATAATATCTGATGGATTTCCTAATATTGAATCTTTAAAGTTTTTTGCACCAGAACATGGACATGGTTCTTCAATTTTAGAAGAAAATGCCGGTTTCGAATATGAAAAAGTACTAGGTGGACGTTGCCAAGAATCCATTGTCAACGGTGCATCTGAAAATTGAGAATTTGAAAATAGTAAAATAAAACTTTAATTATTAACATATTACATATACATATATATTCATGCAAAAAATAATGATTAATAAAGATCGATTGATGATAAGAATGATGGCTTACTATACTCGTAGACTAATAAGGTAATTGTAACTTATAGTTATATTGGTAACTAGAAACTTTTGTCGATTTAAAGAACTTTGAAACAGACCATGCGAAAATTACCATTATGGCAAAAACTACCTATTGTGACTTTTAATTTAGGTTCACAAGCATATTTTGTATATTTACTGTTGCTACAAGAATATAATTATTAGAATCTAACAAACAAGGAATTTACCACTAAGACATGGTGGTATTTATATAGATCATATTTAATAAGTTTATTAAATGTTTACGCAAGTTAGGTAGGTCTTCTGATATTCATTCATTTAAAATTTAAGAGCCGCGCTCTTATCGATGGAGGTCTTGCTTATTTCCGCGATTTTCCATCCATCTCTATAGTTGTTGATACGTTAGTTAGGTATAAATTGATTTTTATAATTGGTTTATTCAGTTTACCTTTTGCATTGAAATGAAAAGAAATATCCATTTTGCCGAGATTAACTAGAGAATTGGTGATGGTTGGCGTTTGATTGACTCCCTTGAGGACACCACGACACGTCGCCAACGTTGTCGTGCATACCAGCAGAGCAAATGCGTAGAGTATCATAACCTAAATATAGTTTTTGCTAATTATCATTAAAATATTAATGTCGACCTCGGTAGTCAGCTGTTTAGCACACCGACTTACTTAGGTACTGTAGTCGCGGGCTCGATTCCTCGCATAAAGAATAATTATAAATATTTTTGTTAACTACATTTTAATAGTGACAATATAATACTAGAAATTGTTATTATTGTTCATACAATCTTCGGTTTGCTAATAATTATAATGACTATGAGGGTGATAGAAAGCTCGACTTATAATAAAAGCTTATAAAACTTCACAAATACAATCAATATTCTTTTATTACCCGAAAAATAGAAACAAAGCTAACTTTTCAAACATAGCAATAAAAAGTTTGTCGACATTGTAATTCCTTTGCCGAATATTGTAGAAAATTGTCTATGGGCATTAAGAGATGCAAAGAAAAAAGTTTTAAAAAGTTAAATAACATCTAAATTCGCTTACTGATTGTGCGGCCGGTGTTTCTGGCTACTATACAATGCCTAGGTAGATTGATATTGAAAATCAAATGGAGGCTATAGGAGGCTGTTTCGAAACTTCGATTTATTCTTTATTGACTCTCAATTTTACGAGCAGTCTTGCGAAATTCGAATTGAACAAAACGTTGGTGGCTTTTACGCGCCTAATCACGTTTTCGTCATTTTGAAGTTGATGCTTCAGACTTTGATAGAAACTTTACAACGATTGTAATATTTTACATTTTTAAAGCAAGACATTATTATCGTTTTTGTTATTTTATTTATTAATTATTTAGTTTAGAAAATTAGATATTCCAAATAGCTTTAAGTTTATAACAAATGGTTTCGTTTTGTTTCACTATACCCATATCTATAAATATTCATACTAAAGTATATCCGTCTATCTTTCTGTTTGTTTGTTACAGTTTCACGACGAAACTGTTGAACTGATTTTAATAAAATTGAAATGAATATAACCTATAAAGGCTATAATTTATTTAAAAAATAGACAATGCAGTCAATGACGCCGGTAACAGATAGTATCTGATAATGTAGGTACATTTAGAATTTGTAATAAAATGGCGTACGGGTTTTATAACGAGCCCTGAAAGACAAAATTATAGAAAGTATCGTTTTATCCTTCGATATCGTTTTTATATTATACATACATAGATGTTCATATGTACATATATCTATATGATATATTACGTGCATTAGTTATATTATGTATGTTGCGTTATACAGACATACATATACAAACTTAATGAACTGATTCAGCTAATTCGGCCATTAAAATAAATTTGTTCTATAAAATAAAATTGCATAGCAACGAAAATACTCTTCTAGTTTAATTTAATTGGGTTACAACCTCAGTTTAGGTTGAAAAGTTTTAAGTACTTTCACTCGCCCTTTCAAATCACAATTATTTGTTAACGCCTAATTTTATTTAATGGAATTATTCAGAATAGACACCTACGCCTATTAATTTCCATAATTGTTCTATTAATAGCAAGTTCTAAAATGTTTATTTCAACAAAGAAAAATTATAATACAAAAGTTAAGAGAAGGAATAATTTTGTGGTTAATAAATTTACCTTTCTCGACGTTTCTACCAGACTGCACTGACTGATTAAAAAAAAATATATCAATTGAGATTTTTGCCAGTTATGCTCAACTAAAATAGCTTTTTTATCGTGTGGAAAAATCTTCTAATGACCTCCCAGCCAGAGGTGACAAGGGGATTCTTACCCACTTAAAAGCCACACGATGTACCTACGAACGCCATTGCGTTGCCCTGTAGAGGAAGTAGCTAGATGAATTGCATAGACTAGGTAAGAATAGTGTTAAAAAATTTGACGTGTACAAGAGACCGAAAAGTCGTATGTGGAAAAATGACTGACTTGAAAGCGTTAATTGTAGCTTATTTCTAAGTTTTGCAATAGAACATTTATTTAATCATCTATAAAGCAAATTTCATGTTTATTTCTAAAAACAAAGTGGTTGTCGTTTTTCCAATTCTGTTCTCGATGAAATACATTCCAGTGTACGTCTGGAAGATTGCATTGGTGCAATAAAATATTGTTATAATGTATTTATTTATAAACTTCGATTTCTGAAACTGCTCGTAAAATTTCCGACGTGTTACCGACCTTATCCGTTTGGGATTTAGTGATAACAGTAAAATGTAAAATGGCTCTTATGAATTTATTCATCATAACTTTGGTCTGTGGCTGGAGATACATATACGTTAATTAACTAGTTTTATTGGTAGTCTAATTCAAATAAACCTACAATTATATGTTACATTTTTTAGATTTCATGTTCAATTGTGCAGCACATACTTGTAAATGCTGTGTCAAATTCGTCCAGTATAAAAACGAAAGTAGATCCGAAACGAAGAAATGAATTGGTAGATAAAGCATTTATGGAACAAAAGGATATTTTGTTAGAAATGGTAATGTCATTAGTATCATTTTTATCTTGACTTTAATATAATTATTAGCCATAAATGAGAAATGAGTGCATCATGATCGAAATTACCGAATATACCGATACGTTTACTCTAGGACAGTAAAGAGAGAAAGGAAGGAGAAGAAATATAATATATAAGAAGAACAGTATGAGATGAAGAGAGTCATAAATTATTAAATTTAAAAAATATACTTTTTAAATTATGTTTGGATTATTTTGACGTACTACTAATATTTAATATCATTTTAATTTATTAACATGCTTACATATAATATAACATTTCGTTTTAGTTAGAAACAAAATTAAAAGAAGTAAAAGACAAGAGGAAGAAAAAGGCAGAAAAAGTCGATAATAGTATTATAGAGGTAGTAAAATGTAAACCATTGCCACTTAATGCTGATATAAAATTAAAAGCCAAAGGAATTAGTGCTGTGGGTGAAACTGATATATTGATCAATTTTGGAGATACTGGTAATATTATTTAGTATGTCGTAATATATGTTTTAAATGCAAATAAACTAAAAGCTACAATCGATTACAATATGTCATTACCTTACGAGTATATCTGAGTCTAATAGACTAATAATTTTTGAAACTTTACAACTTAAATATTTACTAGTAGTAAACAATTTGTTCAGACGCGGATTTCTACAATATTTCTACAAGAATGTATTATTCCGTACACTGTATACATTTATATGTATATAGAATACAAATTATGAGAAACATTACTTCAGTATTCATAGAAATCCAATAGATAATCCTGACATAATACGACAAGCGCAGAATATTGGGTTATCATTCCCAGGAAAACATACTTAAAATTATTATTTATGACAATATACAGTGAAGTCAAACTTTGTTGAATATTTCGTATTTTTTAGGCAAAGGCAAATTGGATTTAAACGCTACAGGAATATCTAATGTTGGAAAGGCTGATTTGGAATTAGGCATTGGTGATGGCAGTATCAATATACCTGGACTCGATAATTTATTTCACGGTAAGAATAATAATTCAGAAAATAATACTTCGTGTTTGAAATTTAATAGTATAAATATACTCGTACTTACATATAATACCACAAACTAAGAATACTATAGTTTCATAAGGTATTTGATTGATTTTAATGATTAAGCTATTACATTATATATAAAACTTATTTAAAAAGAGTCTTATAATTATATTAAAGTTAGATGTATTACTAATTACTTGGTAACATGGCGTTAAATTGTCGTTATTTTTAAACTTTCGTGTTTATATACATTATTTATATTATTAACCGGGTCTTAACATGAACTAATTTTATGGCAAATAAAGGTATTTACCTCTCTCGACGTTTCGACTAGGTTGCACTAGCCGTGGTCACGATCTGACTGGAGTAACAGCGATGCCAATGTAGATAGGTGACAGCAGTTTTTTCATATGCCGTCACTAGATTGTTCAACGAAACGTCGAGAAAGGTAAATACCTCTATTTGCCATAAAATTAGTTCGTGTTAAGACCCGGTTAATAATATAAATAATGTTAAATTATCGTATTTAATAAAACTGTAAGTGATACATATAATAAAGAATTTATAGATATATATTTAACTTCGAGATAAAAAATGTACGCATTATGCATAACAAGCATTGACGGGTTATGCATTTCAAACAAACACCCTTCATGAATATTCAGCCTTACTTAACGAGGTTAAAGGAGTAGAAGGTCGGTTATTGGATGATGTCTATTGGTAGACTTTTAAATTGCAGGTCGTGATTATTTAAATGATTGTAACAATATTAACATAAATAAAGAAGAAAATAATTTACATGACATCGAAAATGGCAACATTACAATTTTAAGAACTGCCAATACTGATAACACGGAACTTGATAAAGTTAATGTGAATATAAAAAATACCATTAAAAACGAAGTTATTACAAGTAATAATGTTACAATAAGTAAAGGTGATACTACTAAATCATTGAGCGATGATAATGACATAAAAATTAATTTGAGTAATATCACACAATCCAATCCAGCCATTTCGACAGATGTTTAAGGAAGTTATTTAAATAATCTTAGTACAACTTTTTAGCATATAATATAAGATAATATTTTGTTTCAAGTATTACATGTATGTGTAATTATATGTATCAAGTTATCAGCTAAATTATTATACCGTATTTATTAAATATTAAACAGAATTTACAAATCTTGTTAGAATTATTTTTACCTTTTTTATCTATCCATGTTATATTACGTGGTGTAATTTGATGTACCTACTTATTTAAAACTTCACTAGTAACATAAGTACTAGCGTCTGCTAGCGCCTTTCGTCTGCATGATAGTGACCGGTATTATTGTCCTCTTCCAGCCCATATGCTGTTTAGTACAGCGACATATTTTAGATGGTCGCGCGGTTCAAATATTTGTGTTAGTCCGGGTATTTTTCCTGTATATTATGTATTACAAACAAAATGTACGTCAGCATTTCTATCAGTTTACTACCCGTAGTACAAAATACAGAACAGAGAAGGAAGCACAAGTTCTGCATAGTTTAGGACTAAATTGGAAATTTTCTTATTTTTTATTACGATATTGAAACCTACAAGAACAGAGTTTATTCCTTTTTAAAAGGCCGACACGTACTTGCAATTCCCGTAGTGTTGCGGGTGAGTGCTCATGAACGGCGGTAATCACTTACCATCAGGTTAGACGCATGCTCGTTTGTCCCTTGTGCTATAAAAAAAAATGTATTATACTTATAATTCACAGACAGACTCACTTTAGTATTTTAATATTAGAATATAATAACTCAGGACTCAGGATAATGACTCACACAGCGCCATTTAGTCCCAAGCTAAAAGAGCTTGTTTATAGGTACTAGACAAACAATATAAATACATACAGAGATTTTTTTTTTAATTACGTATATAATATACATAGAAAACACTCACAAATGTTTGTATCGAGGGAGGAATCGAACATGCCATCATTGGATTTGAGACGGTGTCCTAAACAGCTAGACCTCCGAGATCGTAAAATTTAAAAAGACAGTATTAGTATAGCGTGAGCGTATTATCCGTAAGATGTCTGGTTTCGCTGACGTTTTTGCCGCTTGCAGTAAATGTCGAGGTATCATAAAAACCAGTGATTACATAAACTCTGCACGGGAGTCTTTTCTATAATATGTTTGCGTTTTTATATCTCCACTGGGTGTGCTTCACGTAACCACGAATATAAAGGTACTGGATTGTTTTAGTGTCACAACTATATCTATGTATATGGGAATATAATAAACTTCATATTAAAATATGGAATTATACCTCATTTTTAAACACGTGTAAGTTTTACTACCGTAAGTACGAGATTATGACTTACTTAATTAACTTACGATAAATCAAATCAAATCAAAAAACCATTTATTCATGTAGGTCATTATAGACGCTTATGAACGTCAAGTTTTTTGTATCTACCGCCCAATTCAGTTCAATAAATTACGATTTAGTATAGTGTTTACATTTGTTTTATCGTTACGTATATAAGTTATTACGTAAGTTACTCACTTGTGTAAAACTAACATAAAAAAAGATTAGATAAATGAAAAGTATTTTTCATTTTTATTACACCGTTTATTTATGTGATGATGTAGCATGGATCTTTGAATTTATCGAATATAAAAATGTTAAAAAAATGGAGTTTATACAGCGAATACTTACAAATACGTCACACGATAGACTTACAAGGTAAGAACAAAAATAATAATAGTACACACCAATGCACATATTAATAAAGAAAAAAAACTAAAACTTCACTCGATATATTAACAAATAAATATATACATACTAACTGTAGCTTGACCATATAAAGAAATAAGTTTCATCTTTCTAGCTTCATAAATGACGAATTTACATACAAACTTTCATACCTTATTTTATTTTACTCTCTTAAGGTTACATTTTTACAAACTTTGAATGTCATATTACTTTATAATAGATAAAAAAATAAGTTCGAATACTTACTTACAATTAATAAGTTTGATACTTTCATACAACCCTTCATCTCCGCTTCAACCCCCTATAACCCTTTTTACGTATTAAAAAGTAGCCTATGTCCTTTCTTAGAATCTAGACGATCTGTGTACCAAATTTCATTTAAATCGATTCAGTAGTTTTAGCGTGAAATTGCAACAGACAGTTAGACAGAGTTACTTCCGCAATTATAATATAGATATGATATAGAAGAAAAGTAAACGTAAGTGCTCAGTATAATTGTAATAACTTATAAGTATCACAATTAGTATAAATGTAATACAAGCTCTTCCCGCGGTTTCACCTGCGTTATACTTCAGTACATAATTTCAATAAAAAATATAGCCTATTTGTTATTCTAATGCTATATAACTGTAAAGTTTCATCATAATCATCATAATCGTTCAGGTTCAGTTTTTCCGTAAAAGAGTAACAAATATCCATACTTACAAACTTTCGCACTTATAATATGAATAAGACTATGTTATGTGTGGTTGATATTTTGAGAGGCTAACTATAAGTATGTGTTGTAGTGCGGCGGCGGCTGCAGCGGCGGCGGCGGAGGCCCTCGGGGGCGGAGGGAGGCGGATGCCGCCCCCCTTGCTGCGTTCACGCACCTTACCTGCTATCATAGCACCGGGTTTCTCCATACTGCACGCTCAGATCGACCCTCAGAGAACTAACGGTAAGTTTCAAAGTATAATTAAAATATTTTAGCACGCAAAATCTAGTTGGGGGGAGGGGCTTGGTGACCCGTGACACAGGTTTCGGATACCTACAGGCTCTCTCAGTTCTCCACAAATTTGCATTTTAGCATGGAATTTTACATGCCTCAAAAGCTCTGTTGCACTTTATATTGTGTGTATATTTTTGTGGAGAAAATAAAATATTTTCTTATTTACAGAATGCTTCTTTAGATTTACAATACACCTATATTTTTACATTAATTTTCATTAAAGTACTAATAATTTTCATTATATCTGACGTCAGCTGTTACCTGCCAATTTGTCTGCTTAACTTGGATCTAGATGGCGCTGTGTGAATTGTCCTGAGGTTATTATATTATTATTATTATTATTAATTAGATTTTTTTCTTTATGATCGGAGTAATTTTTTTAATACCACGGCTAAAATTATTTGAAATACATAGCATGATGAGTTTCATAAGTACGAGTATAATGCTATGACGGACAGATGGATATAGCTGTACGATAAGGTTTCCATTTTCCATTCTATTCAACACCGCTATAATAAAAATAAAAAAAGAAAATAATTAGATGATACTGAAACCAGCTATTAAACTTTCTCAGCGTGGTGTTGGTTGCTTTTAAACTAAAGCAATTTAACTGACTAAATGAAATAGAAACTGCACTGAAATTCAGAGTTAGGATAAAGTTTGTTTCATGATTCCGACTGCAAAATGTATTCAAATAAACATTTGTTCGGCGACCAAACTGCGACTCAACACTAGGCTTCTCTATATTCGAGCTCTGTTTTAAGACTATGTTATGTGTGGTTGATATTTTGAGAGGCTAACTATAAGTATGTGTTAGTGCGGCGGCGGCTGCGTGCCTGACTAGGCTCTCTCAGTTCTCCACAAATTTATTAGCATGGAATTTTATTGAGCTCTGTTTAATGCCTGATGATACCTCGTTCAGAAGCGAAACACGTGTCGCAATATGGGTAGACACTCAATAAAGGTCGAATTTTTATCACCAATAGAGAAGGTCGTAATGCTTGCAGTAGTGTTGGTCAGGTTTCCGCACTGATATATTTGTGATCTCACACACGCATTTAAACAAAATTATAAAAAAATATTCAGTTCTGATGGAGTTTAGCAAAATAATACCTAATTCGATAAAATAAGTTCCTTACATTCTTCATTTTGTTGAAAGTCGCAGATAGATAAAAATATTGATTCTAATGACATATTTGATGGAGATATTCAGTGGACATATAGCAGTGAATATAATTTACTATTGATTTTATCACATTTATACGTGAGACATAACTGTTACTTACCAACAACAATACGAATTTTAAATATGATGGATTATATTTTATTCCACAATCAATGTGTCCAATAATATTTTGTATTGATTTTTTTATATCATTAGTACACAGACCGGTCCGCCCTTGTGATGGAAAGTTGCAACCGGCGTTTTAATTTTAGAAATTTTATGACAAAACAAGCTGAATGGTAAATGATGGTTAGCAGTAAAAGTCGTCTATATACATGAACAGAACTACGAGTACGACATCACGTTATCATGTAACACCCGTGATATCACTTTTATGTTTCACTCCGTCGATTCTGGAAACAGTCGTTGCAAATTCATCACGATGGGATAACTCACCATTACGGATAACCATTCTAATATACTCGTGAAACTAAAACATTAACCAAAAATTTGTATTTTCTTTAATATTATTTTTGTACCGTATTAACGACAGACCTCTTGTATGTATTTCTTTTCTATGTTTTTTGTATACAATTATTGACTTTATATGTTTTGTTTAGTTCTATAGTTGTATCAAATATACTACTAAATTGGTGAGTTAATTATTTATTTCACCTTATAAGTAATTCCGCCGTTGCCAGCCATTTTAGCATCGATAATAGCAACTTACCATCAAATGGTCAGTCTGTTTGTCATCCAGTTACTCACATTATTAAAAGAAAGGTAACAAAATGTTACCACAATGACGCTGTTAGTTCTTTAATAAGAAACTGAATAATAGCGGTCCCGGGGTAAGAAAAACATCGCGTGACCAGGAAATGCACCACTGTAGCCGAGTATAATGTGGTCGGGTACGGAACTAGATAACAGTTTCTGATAGTGCCAGACGGTGCTATATACACTTGAATATATACTTTTTATATATTCGGGTCTTTTATGATGGTTTTTAACTGATTTAAATGAAGTGTTTTCAATTTTTTTATACAACTGGAGTTGCAAATTACAAATAAATAAAATTTCTGGACTATTATTACAACGCCATTTAGGCCCACGGTAAACAGAGCTTGTGGTATGGGTACTAGACAACTTAGATATTTTATGTAAATACACTAATAATATACATAGAAAACACCTAGACCGATACAAACAATAATCTCATGAACACAAGTGTTTGCACTGTGCGAGGAATAGAACCCGCGACCATTGGACATAAAGCGATGTGCTAAATCGCTAGACCACAGAGGCCGTCAACAATTAGTATAGTTTCTACGGATTTAGCTTACCGCCTCATTTCTAATAATAAATATATATTGGAAAGGAGCTGTAAGCTCGTATCTCCTCTATGCTATAAAAAAAAATGAAAGGAAACAAAAAAGAGATGGATAGTAGAATTTGGTATGAACTACAGTATAAAGTATAGTATTGCGCAAGCCACGATGTGAGAAATTATATAAAAAAATAACGTAATAGAATATTGTCCCACTGAATGTGTAACATGGAGGTGTTATACAAAGTATAAAGTTACTTCAAAGTTGACATTTCGTTTAGAACACTCACCGATACACAGATAACATTGTAACAGATAATAAATGAAATGCAGTAGAAGGAATTCTATTTTGGCACAGAAGCGAATATATATTTACGAATGTTTTAAGTAATAAGCTTTCGCGGTATTTTAACATGTATTCTTGAAACGTAATAGAAAAATTAAAGAGGTAATCATTCTATTTTTAATTATTTATTTTCCATGAGATGCTGGCGACGGCCTACAAGGTAAATTCAATAAGTGCAGTAGGAATTTACCTGTTCTTACAAAGTTTTTATGCACTGAAATCTCGTGAAATCTAAGTTGATTCTTACACCCCAGATATTATTTTACATGATAGTTTTTAGAAATCACGACAATAAGACAAACTTGATGTTTTAAGGTTTTATGAAAAAATAAAGATTTTGTTCAATTAATAATACAATAAGTACGGACTTTAAGATAGATATTTGTAATTAATATATTAACAAGACAAAGTTGTTGTTGAAAACTTGTAGAGGTGTTATACTTTCTAAAAAGTCGTATCCGTTTTCAGTTGCAGTTGCAAGCAGCTTGCTTTGTAAGATGTTTTTTTCTGAAGATTAAATAGTACAGTTAAGATGACATGTTAGTCCTCAGGAATTATAACGGATGGGTGGTATCTCAGCCGTCACATGCTATTCACGTATATTAGCGACGGATACCACTTACAATCACGTGATCCGTCAGATTATTTGCCATTTCAATTACAAAAAGAAATACCACTCAGTCCGCTGTCGCTTGAAATTTGGACCATAGACCAGAAAGTGCAATAGCAGTTTCTAGAGATGTGCCATGATACATTTGTCACCGGTATACGCCAGAGAAGAGAAACGTTTTAGTAGAAAAATTCTACTGAAGTTTGCTTTCTTTTGTTGACAGCGTTGGTGGCATTTGATCGAAATAAATAACTTTAACTCTTGTGGAGTTTTTCATGTGGATTTTTCCATTTGAAAACATTTATCCGACATCGCAAAAGAAGCTCAGTTTCTTAATCTTAGTTTGTTTTAATAATATAAATGTGCCAGGAAAATTCTTACGTCGCCATCTAGTTACAAATTATATAGAGATTTTTGTTATGCATGATAATGTAATGGTGCCCCCGCCTGCGCTATCGGTTTACGCTGACGGGGCACCAGTAGAGGATGATAAGATGAGCATGAGGTCAAGTCAGTTAGCACATCGTGGCAAATTCAACAAGAATTTATCACGATGGTTTCCAGGGGAAACCGCGTGGAGGTCAACTTGATATGGTGCATTGCTAGTAATGGGGTCATTATCCACATTACTAACAATCCCCTTTCCCCCAATGCATAGAGGTTGTACCATAGGTATTTTTTATGTATCCTCACCTTTACCCCCCACCTCAAGATATCAAGCCTCTTATTTTGTAACTTCACTGCCTAATCTCACCCTACAACCAAAACATAGGTTACAAAGCAGGAATACTTGTTTATAAATACCTAAATAATATACATCGAAAATATTGAGACGAATACAAACAGTGATATTCATGGATGTTTACAAAAGTTTTTATTGTGCGAGAATCGAACCTACCACCGGCGTGGCATCACCAAGGCAGTGTGCTTAACCAGCCTGTCCAATAAGACTTTAATTAACGTCTTCATTTCAGTATTTCTATAAATTTTTTAGTAATAGTACACAGTAAACGTCGTAGGACATGTTCAAGGTTATGTATAAATTTATTATTTGTATTATGTACAATGAAAATGTAACTGATTGCTGTCAGTGCATGGACTAAAAGAATATAATAATAATATCTCAAGATAAGTCATATAGCGCCATCTAGTCTCAAACTAAGCAGATCTTGTGTTATGGATTAGTATCCAAAAATGTATCTATTTATTTATATTAGTGTTCTAGTGATAACTAATATAAATAAGTAGATACATTTTGTAAATACGTCAATAGTAACATTATAAAATGGTAATGTTTGTGGGTGTGTAAAAGTGTGTGGGAGGGGTAATTGAACCGAGGGATTTACTGAACCGATTTTAAAAATTCTCTTAACATTAGATACCCTCGTGATTTATGAGTGTCATAGGCAATATAACTTCATGCTACGACATTTAGGAGTGGATGTTGTTAAAACGGGGAAAATTGCACATTTGCTGCACATGTCACCTAATACATATATAA